TTGGAATATGCACTGCGTTGCGACTGTAGTACTAAGAAAACAGTTAAATTTTAAAAGCGCGGTTATAAGATCTAACAGATCTTCTTGTTGCCTAGTGACTGAGGTGAATAAAGGCACATTTCAGTTAAGGTACATAACGTAATTTACGAGTGTCATTTACAGATGACCGAAGAGCGTGAAGGTTCAGTGCAACTTGGCGTCATCCAAAGAGAAACTGGTAAAAGAGCCCAAAGAAATATTAAATAAGCTCAATGTGAACTGAACATGGTTTTAGGTCGGTCAAAGTTACCATTGATTGTAGTTGTAGTCTGTACTTTAGCCATTCCGTTGTTCTTCATCGCAAAGAGGGCTTCATTAAATGGAGGATACACAATTTGGAATGGTTGGGGGGCTTGTTCCAGCGACTGCGGCGAAGGAATTCGCATCAGGACCAGAACTTGCACAAATCCCATAGCCGGACGGTTCGGTAAAACGTGTCTTCAACTAGGCCTTGGAGAACCACAGGAAGAGGAGAAGTGTAAACTCAAAGAATGCCCTATAGATGGAGGATTCACAGATTGGGGTGAATACGGCGTCTGCAGCAAACCTTGTGGCACCGACGGCGTTAAAAAACGAACGAGAACTTGCACAAATCCCCTGCCGCAGTTCGGAGGCAAACCCTGCGAAGGTACAAGCGAAGAAACGCAGCCTTGCAACGTTAAGCCGTGTCCTGTAGACGGGGCTTTCTCCGAGTGGGGAAGTTTTGAAGATTGTGATAAAACTTGCGGATCGGGGATAAAGAGAAGAACTAGGACATGTACGAATCCGCCGCCATCTCACGGAGGCAAGAACTGCGAAGGCGCTGTGGATCAAGTTGAAGAGTGCAACACACAACCCTGCCCGGTGAATGGAGCGTTTTCGGCATGGTCTGAGTTTGGGAGTTGCAGTGTGTCTTGTGGTTCCGGGGTTCAGGCGAGGAACCGAACTTGCTCGCAGCCAGCCCCTGCTCATGGAGGTAAAGACTGCGAAGGACCTGCGGGAGAGACGAAGGAGTGCAACACAGATCCTTGCCCTCCAGTTTCAACATGAAAGAGGTTGATCTCAATAAATAATGTTTGGCTTTGACATTTCTAATACTTATCTAGATGTTTTAATGACAGCACAGGACAGCAGACTTACCAGGTAGACCCATAAATTAAAAACCTGACCATAATGTGTCCTTGGGCAAGGGGACTTCCATAGATATAAAAAGGTGCGGTATGCTTGTCGGCAAATTTGAATTAAACCCCTAAAGAGACCAATCTTGGCATGGCTCAAGCTTTTTTTTTGACCCCTAAAAGATACCACTTAAAATGAAATAGCCTTGATTACCAGCTGCTGTTCAGGAAATTAGCCCACGGTAGTAGACTGGACTCTAGAGACCGGTGAAAATTGAGCCTAAAAACAGAAATAAGAGCCCTTTCTTATTATTACTTCTTTAAGTGCACCCCAAGCGAGGACAGAATTCTCGATTTTATACCCCTAAGTGAGATGACAAGCATCCCTGATCTTTTTATATTGGAGGCCCCCTGGGAATGTGTCAATCAATTTGAAGCTTTAACATCCCCTGTGTAATGCTATGTGATAGGGTACTTCCCATTATGTCAAAAAATTTGACAACTTTCAGCTGGAAATCAAATGGAAAGGTCTGTTTTGGTTTGACCAGACTATTTGGGATCACCTCTGAAGGTGGTCCACTTTGCTTGGTCAGACTGGTTGAACTGAAATTTGCTGTTTTATTTTGACAAACTGGTTCTTTGCCCAACTACTCTTCAGTAGATTTCAGTTATGTGGGGAAATGGGGTCAGTTATCCCAGTTTGATTGGAAAATGTTCTATTCTTCCTTGGTTAGTCCCATCTCTGACTAGTTGTTCTGGCATTATGGAAAGTACCCTTAATTACACTTTACTTTGTTTATTCAATGCAGGTAACCATACCAGGTACGTTGAGATATTGCAACCCTTAAACTATATACTTGAAAGTCACTTCAGTCAAATCTCAGTGCAACCCTGTTAAAAATGGCTGGTTTATATGGGAAGACAAAATAGTATTATACTGTCACTTGCATCTAAGGGTGAACATGTCATGCTGAAACATGCTCTAATTGGGTGTCAAACATGGCATGATTGGTCATCAAACATTTGAAGTTTAGCAAACTGTGGCACGAACTTTC